AAAAAAAAAATTTTATTGCTAAGTTACTTGCAGCAACCCTCTTATGGCAGATATTAGTGGTTCTGTTTTACAGATGAGGAAACTGAGGCTTGCTCAGAGAATTTCAATGACTTGCTCAAGGCCAAGTGACTCGAAAGCATTAGATTCCCAGCAGGTCTGGCAGATTTCATAGGCTAAGCTTTAATGACAGGCAACATTGCTCCATACCCGTAGCCCTGTGCCGTTCAGAGAGGGGACACACGGTGTTTACGTAAGGGCAGGACATTGCCACTGGGCCCCAAATAGAAGAGTCAGATGGATCTTCATGAAATTCCAATCTGATCCTGTCGATGCCCCTGGTTAGGTTGACTGGGCGGCAGTTAGGATGTGGAGCCCTATCCAGACTCTGCTCTGGCTTCCCCACCGCCCCTTGGGCCGGGCCTCACTTGGCATTTTGCTTTTGCCCTTGAGGGCACCTTTCCTCAAATGTTCTCTGCTCCCCGCTGGCACAGGGTCCGGCAGAAGCCCTCTGCTCTCTGGGACTCTCTCTGGTCCCCTGGGAACCCCTGCTCTCCCTTCACTGTCCGGGGGCCGGTGTCCCTGCCATGCTCTCCAGGCACGGAACCCTCGGCTTGGTGGTACTTTTCTTGGTTTGGGAGGCTGGCTGATTACATGCTGGTGAGCTCCGTGAGGTCAGGGGCTGGGCCTGTCTTTGTTCGCTGCTGCTTCCCCAGGGCCCAGCACCCTGCCTGACACACAGGAGGTGTTAATATACATAAACACAGGGTGAGTGAACAAAGGAGAGGCCCCTCTGACTGTTTTCCTGTGCTTCCTATGCCTCTGAGATCCGGGAACAGCCCCTCCGGGGGCCCCCAGGAGCTCCTCTCTCCTCCGGGCCAAGTCTTGGTGGCCGCCCTGCCACCTGCCCGTGCACTCACATCCATATAGTTCTGCAGGGGCTGGTCGGCCATCATGTTGGCTGGCTCAGTGGGGAAGTACTTGTTGGCCGGGTTGACGCTGTGCGTCTGCAGGAACTCCTGCAGCTTGCCATGCTCGATCAGCTTCTGCCTCAGGGACTTCATTCTGACGAGGGGGACCCTGTGGCGGAGTGTTCATGAAGGGATGGTTTAGAGAAAGAAGAGTTTAGGCCAGGAGTCTGCTCCTGGGGTGCTGTGGGGAGTCCCAGAAGGAAGAGGGAGCTGGCCCAAGAGAGGAAGAAGGAGGGAAGTCAGAGGGGAGATGTCCCCACTTTGGGCCTGTGAACGCAGAGAGGTTGCCCCAAGCCCCACCGGCGCAGCACTGGAGCTGGGAACCACACCCAGGCTGGACATGAGGGCTGGTCTCCTCCTCAGCAGCGCTGCCTCCCCTGAGGGCGGAGAGGGACAAGAAAGGAGACTGGAGACAGTCATAGGAGGAGAGAACTTGTAAGGCGGAAGAAGGGAAGAAAAGAAGTGTGGGAGGAAAGAGAGGCAGGGGACAGGCAGCAGAGGGAAGGAGCCCCCTGGAGCTCTTTGGGCCGGGAGTGCCACAGACTCACTTGTAGACCTTGCACTCAGAGAGCGCCACCAGGCCGAGCAGCAGCAGCCACTTCATGGTGCCCCTTGGATCCCAAGACCCCAGAGAAAGCCAGACGGGTGGACGGTAGGCAGCAGCAGGCGGGAGGTGCTCCTTATGTACAGCCCAAGCCCTTGGGAATCAGCCTTATCAGCCTCCAAATGCCACCCATTATCCTCATAATTTCCTGATAAGATTGTCGCCACCCCTGAGCCATGTTCCGGTTGGGTAGCTTTCCACTGTAACCACATCCAGCAGTTGGGGTGGGCCTGCAGAGAGAGCACGATGGAGTGGTAGCTTATTTCTTAAATAATGAAATGTGTTAAAACTTGACAAGCTGAGTATTTTGACAAAATCGGTCTAAAGCGCACTTACCATTGCACAGATGTCAAAGGAGTTAATTCTATCCTGATCTGTCCCACAGGGACACACGGCTGGGATTCTTGGGGAGCAGCTCCCCACAGAGCAGTGGGCCAGGTCCCTGTAGCTGGCACCCCAAAGCACATTTGTAGATTGGTTGTTCGGGACTCAGGGCACATCCCCCGCCCCCCCCCAGAAATGTCGTTCTTTGGAGTTACTGGCTGTCTAACTAGCCTACGGGCCTTATTATGCTCTGCTTCTCACGGCAGCTGGACTGTCTTGGGAAAGTGGTGCATGTAGCACAGAGGAGGGAGGAAGATGTGGAACAAGAGGGAGATTGCTGCCTTCCCTTCATGGAGGAAGGAAACCTGAACCAGACCGGGTTTGTCTTTGGAATCTGTGCCCTCACTTTCTGCACCCTTTCTCTTCCACCCTCTCAGGCTGCTCAAACCCTCCACTTTGAGATCCCACCTGGGTCTGACTCTCTCAGGTGAAGCATGCTTAAAACTTGGCTGAATTGGTGGCAGTGGAGCAAAGCAATCCAGGGAAATTCATACTAGCATGTGAATGACTTAGAAAGGTTCTCTTCTTAAAAGAGGAGGCTTCCCAACCTGATGGATTCTCTGCTTTGTGGAGTTTATTCAGTGGACAAAGTGGGCTGAAAAAAACTGATTTGGGAATTGCGGGGAAGGGGCATATGCAAGAGGGAGGTCACCAGTAGGTAGTGAGCCCCACTTTTGGGTCTTGTTCTGAAATTGGATTCTCTGGACCACCCACCCTTGGTTTTTCCAGCATCAGGAAACACAGATTCTATAAAAGCTCCAAATTCCCTGCAGCGCCTCTAGGTGAGTATGGAGGGGTGGGCAGGGCAGCTGAAGACCCAGGGGTGGTTTATACAAAGCA